GAGTCATTAAGGAAGCATCTGTCCTCCACAGTGTAGATGCCAAAATGCGGCCTGGATATAGGCTGGTGAAAATTTTGAAAGTGGATCGATGGCTCACAGTGCGACAGATTTTTCATGCGCCTTCACTCTGCTGGCTGCTTTTCAAGAGATAAGGCTTGTCGCAGCATTTTAGGTGGAAACAAATTCGGGAGCCTGAAACTGCTAGAAACAATGTGACAGAAGCCATAAAACTGGAGATTCTCTTTTACGAATCAAGATATATAATAAGGTCCATCTGTCATATGTTCCTATCTGCTCCTGTCCGCCGTCTATGGCCACTGCCCTGGCCCGATTGTCTTCCGCATGACTGACTGCGAACTGATCGTATGGCTGCCTTTTTGCCTACTTTCGGACCAGCGTTACTGATACATGGTGTATGAAACACCTGTTGGACATCTGCAACAATATTTTTTTCCTAAATTATCTTCCCTCTCACCACACCATCGCAAAAATATAGCCCCCGGGAAGCTGTCTGCCTTAGGTATGACTTGGCCCTCACGGACACTTCATCGCCCACCATGCAACGTATGCGACTTGATCTGCTTTTGCGTGTAGGCAGGGAAGAAGCCAGAGCCTTGCCAAGGAGGAACACAGGGTTGACAAAAGCCCGTCTTATCGTGATCCCCCCTCCCAAAAAATCCCCGGATATAGCTTACTTGTTGATAAGTGACTCAGTTTTCTTCGTTTTATTGAAATTTTTACCTCGTAACCGGAACAGAGCCAGGAGCTACCGTGAGCTCAATTCTGTTTTCATTTTGAGGTCAATAAACTGCAGAAATCAGGCGTTGAATGACTGCATGTACGAAATCACTCGGCGTTCTAGATTTACAATGGTTAGTTGACTCTTTTAAAACCGATAGAATTTAGAAGTTTTGCCAATTTTTTATCTGGGTTCTTACAGCCATTGAGGTACATCGCGAAGGTAGATTGTAGATCGGATATGTTTGATCCCAATTTAAAGATTAAAATTTGATTGCGGATCGAGAGATCAACGAGGTGTCTTAACACTGGGCAAGCCATGTTTGTACAAAAATGTTTCACCATTCAGTCAGAATCGATTAGTGACGCAAGTTCATGTAACGTGTTTTCTTAACATGCTCGCTCGCAAATCTTAGCAACAAAAACCTCGACACCAGGACGTTGCAGTCTCCATAGTCCGCGGAGCGTCAGTCCAGTAGCTAACATTTAGTCCGTGGCCCACCTGTAGACGAAAATGATGACGCTTTCTGAAATGATTACCTTTAAACACTTAATCAGCTAGTTATACAAGTTATGTGGCATAATTTTGAGCATGCGCACTCGAAAATTTTCGAAATACGAGCCTCGACTCCAGGCGTTGCAGTCTCCGTAGGCCGCGCAACGTTGGCCTAGCAGCTAATATTAAGTTGTGGCCAACGGATGGACGAAAATGACGACGCTTCCGAGAAAGTATCGTTGGACGGTTCATGACATCGGATCTTGTATTTAGAAGGCAGATCGAGCGCATATTTCACATGTACAATTTTTAGACTCATGAAAAGAACGGATTGGCTCCTAAAGCACCGCGAAGTGGGACTGGAATCTGGTGGTTTAACTGGAAGAATAAAGATGAAATCTCTATTTTCGTGCTTTCGCAGCTATTTATCTGTCCAGAAGACAGATTAACGCGGCGCCTGCCGTCTGGTGGCACATGCAGTGGCCGAAACTTTTCGGTTTTACGGTTCGGTTTACGACCCGCACTATTCAACAATAATGAGAGCCCAACTCCTACTCAACAATAATGAGACCCCTTATTTCCTTCCGGGAAATGGGCCCCTTGAATACCACACCAGGGATTAATTGCCGTTTCCGGTCAAGGGCTGAAGGGTCATTCCATCCCATCGCGAAGTGTCTTCTGGCTATCATTCTGGTGGCACGGGACGGGATCTCCTGGTCCATCCGGAGCCCATTAGAACGGATATATCATATCACATTGGTCCCATCCCTGACACGGAAGGCCCTTCTGAGCCGCGCAGTTAGCCTCGGATCAGAACAGGAGCCCTCATTGACGCAACAATATCCCTGATCACCTGCAAGGTAGTCTAATAGTTGTCACATAGACTCCAGTTCCGTGTTTTTCTGTGTTCTTCAGAGATATTGAGTTCTCCCTGACTGTAGATTGTAGAAGATATAGGGTTCCTAATTTGTATTAACATGGCTAACCCATGCTCGTCTTAAAATGCTCAAAATCCCGTCATAGCTGATAACTGATAAGAAAACTACGTAATATGGTGATGAACATGCGTACTCGCAAGTCATAGTGATAACAGCCTCGACGCCCGGCGTTGCAGTCTACAGGCCGTGCGGCGTGGGCCTTGCGGCTGTAACACTAAGCGCTGGCCAATGAGCAAGCGAAAAAGATGACGCGTCTGAAGGGAAATGACTGGTGAACTAGATAAATAGGCATGCATGTTTCATGTAGTGCAAAAGTGAGCCAGATGCAACCTTGATCTGAAAGGGGGGGGACAGTTATCATTGCTGGCCCCCACCTTGAAAAGTGGGAGGGGGGCATGGCCCCCTGACCCCCCTGTTCCTGGCCCATAAATGTATCGACCTACAATCTACCTTCACGATGTCTTAGTGTCCGTAGGACCCAGATGAGAATTCTGGCAAAGCCTCTGAATTCGATTCGCTTAGAAAAGTCCGCTAAACGTTGCAAATTAAGGGCGCCCGTGATTTATTCCATGCGGTGGTTCAACGCCCGATTTATAACAGTTTATTGATTTCAAAATGCAAACCGAGTTGATCTCACGGTAGCTTCCAGGTTCTGTTCTGGTTGCAAGGTAAAAATAGCAATAAGACGGAGAAAACCGTGTCCCTTGTTAACAAGTAAGCTATATCCGGATATCTTATGCGGGGTCACCACAGGAGGAACTTTCGTCAACCCTGTGTTTCCCCTCAGCAAGACTCTGGCTACGTCCCTGCCTTCACGCAAAAGCGGATCAAATCGTCTACGCTGGATGATGGGCTATTCAATGTCCGTTGGGCGAATTCATACCAAAGGGAGGCAGCTTCCTGGAGGCTTTTCCTGCGCTGGTGTGGTGTAAGGGAAGATAATTCAGAAAATATTCCGTTGCGGGTGTTCAACATATGTTTTATGCCAATTTAAACTGCAAGCATCAACACATTTTTAAGCGCAAGAGCTAGCGTACGTCAAAAAGACCTGACCTCTCAAGGTCACCCTTCAAGGTCAAACGGGGGCTCAGGATGGGGAACTCCATATCACCCAAAAATTACCGGCCGATTTTAAACTTTCAGACATCAGAATATTCACCAAAGAAAGACCTAGCTACCGTCAAATGGTCCTGGCCTCTCAAGATCATCCTTCAAGGTCAAACGCCTGCTCAACGGACGGGGAACTCACTATCACCCCAAAATTACCGGCCGATTTGAAACCAGCAAACATCGAAACATCTTCAAGCGCCAGAGCCAGCGTCCGTCAAAATGTCCTGACCTTTCAAGATGACCCTATAAGGTCAAACGTGAGCTCAAAGGACGGGGAGCTCAATATCACCCTAAAATTACTGGCTGACTTAAACTTGAAAATGTCAGAACCTTCACCACAGAAAGAAAGAGCGTCCGTCAAAAAGTTTTGACCTTCTAAGGCTATCCCTCACGAAGAAATTCAAGCTCAAAAGACGGGAAACCCCATATCACCCAAAATCTACCGGGCAATTTAAAACTTTCAACTATCAGAATATTTAACACAGAAAAGCTAGCGTCTGCCAAAAAGTCATGACCTCTCAGATTCACCTTTCAAGATCAAACGCAGGCTTGATAAACGGGACCTAGTTGAACGGACGCTAAATTTCCCCGTCCTTTGCGCCCGTGATGGACTTTGAAGGGTGACGTTGAGAATTTAAGACTCTTTCTTTCTGTGTAAAATATTCTGATGTTTGCAAGTTAAAAAAATCGGCCAATTTTTTGGTGATATTGAGTTCTCCGTCGTTTGAGCCCGTGCTTGACCTTGAAAGATGAACTTGATAGAACGGGTAGTTTTGACGGACGCTATAGCTCTTGAGTATGTACATGTTTGGGTGCTTTCAAGTTAAAAATCGGCCGGCTATTTTTGGCGATATTGAGTTCTCCGTCCTTTGAGCCCGCGTTTGATCTTAAGGATGACCTTGAGAGGTCAAAACCTTTTGAAGGACGCTAGTTCTTTCTGTGGTGAATATTCTGACTGTTTGCAAGTTTAAGATCAGCCGGTAATTTTTAGATGACATTGAGTTATCCGTCCTTTGAGCCCACGTTTGACCTTGAAAGGTGATCTTGAGAGGTCACGACTTTTTGACGGACGCTAGTCTTTGCACTTGATAATATTTTGATGCCTACAGTTTTCAAATCAGCCCGTAATGTTCTGGTGGTATCGAGTTCCGCGTCCTTGGAGCCAGCTTTTGTCCTCGAATGTCACATGAGATTACAAAATAAAGGTTATTTTCGAGGTTCTCATGCCACAATTGACCTTGAAACATTTCTTTAGATAAATCGAAGCTCGCTAGCTGAATAAATCGCTGAATAAATCGCTAACTTCACTGATGTGGTTTGATAGTGCTCGGTCCCATAGGCACAGAGCATGGGGTTGTCTGCATCCAATTTTGGTGGTGTGGGCGATTTTGGTGACCTTTGATATAACTTAAGGTCACCATGTTCCGGAAAGGATGGGATATCGTTTATGGCGCATCGATTGGCGAAGGTTTCGTGGCAATGGATGCCATAGGCTGAGAGTATGGACTGTCTGTGAGCCTATTTCTCCGTCTTGTAATTTTTAGTGACCTCTTATCTGACCCAAGGTCACCATGTGTCCGGAAAGATCTGATCATCGACCAAACGGCATCGAATGGCTGAAAGTTTCATGTCAATCGGTGTAACAGGCTCGGAGCATGGGGCTGTCGACAGAGTTGGTCGGTCGTTTAGTCCCTCCCTTGATTCAGGGCGCTCCGATGCGCTGTCAGTTTTATGTCCTCAGTGTGTTAGACCCAATGATGTCTTGCGGACAGGCCGGTGCCTGCCTTGGTTATTGCAGTGATTAGGGTTTGAAGGTATTGCCCTCTTTTGTATTATCTCTGGTTTTTCTTGTTTCAGAGAGGCGATTGGTCTTGTGTTCCTGTAAAGTGGGGTGCAAATGTTGACAAATACCGGGCCTTCTTAAAAGCAAGTGGCTTATCGCAACAATCCATATCATTTCAGGGAACTGTGGTCATCTGAAGTCTTGCAACCAAAAAATGGAGGTTGCACAGTGTGGTAAGTTTTTCATCTGACTTGATACGTTTTGTTTTTGTGTGATGCATGGTGTGCTATGTATGTAGTTGGGACCAGAAGCAGTTTCACAAGATGGGTTGTGGAAGATAAGGGGCTGAGCGGTGCAAAACACCATATCCTCCCTCTGAAATGTCCCAAAAGATTGGTTTCACCCCCAAATTTGACATACTTCCTTCTCAAGGTGTGAGTTAGGGGGCTGAAGCCTAAGTTGGACTGCTGGAGCCTACCATCTCAATAGAAAACTTTGCCCCTGATGGGGATGTGTGGAAATCAACCCATGAGAGCATGTGCCCAGCACAGTTCCTGCTTTAATTTACTATGTAAATGAATACACAGAATACTGCTCTCACACAAATTGACCAGATTTTGTTGGTTTACACATGTGCAATGTTGGGTAAATCTGATTGTAAACAGATGTACACAGGTGTGACCCTGTAACTAAATTGGCTCAGATCTGAGCATTGTCAACACAGAACTACCATTCTGTGAATACGCACTCTAAAATGGATTTTAGCAGAAGGTCCTTACCTGTTAAAGTGCCTTCACTTCATATACATATAATCCTTATTCTGTATGTTCCCATTAGGGGCAGCTATAGGCAGAGGAATGTTTTAGGTAGGTGCACTCACAACTGCTATGCTGGGGAGAGGTGTGGTATTATGTGATGCACTCTGCAAGTCAACCACATGATGCAGTCTGCACAGGGGACAATGTGTATGCATCATAGCTGTGTAAGAAGCAGTGCAATGCTAGAGCCCACCTCCAGCAACAGGCTGACTTGTTAAGAGATTGCCTTGGCATGATACTGCCTGAGTCATTAGTAGCTTAAGACAGCATGTGCACAATGTGATAGGGGGCTACTGGCTAACCTAACATTACCTAACCTTACCTTACCTTACCTTAGCCTGTCCTAGCCTGGCCTAGCCTAACTCAACCCAACTTGACCCTAACTTAACCCAACCTCACCTAATAAGGTGCAATGAGATAAAACCACTGACATGACTGTGGCATATTAAGTTTGGTCTCTTGTTAGCATTGGTTTTCATGCAGCTTATATGGCCTATGACTGTGCAGCCTGCAGGGAATATGGCTGTGCAGCTTTCATGGCATATGGCTATTCTTGTGTCTTAGCTAAGCAAATGTTCAGTGTTCCCAATATCCTGAGCTGTCAACATACAGTCAGCCCATCAAGCCTGCCCAAATTTTTGGTGCTTGAAATTTGACTTTTTAAAGAATGTAGAAAAGGTAGCATGTGACATATTCTAACAGTTTGTAGCACATGCAGGCAATAATCTCAGCTCAGCTCTGCAGGAAACACAGGCCACCTTGGATGGCAGCAGCCTGCCATCCCTAGTTATGTCCAATAGCGCCCTCTACCGATTCGAATCCGGCCCGCTCGGCACTCAGAGACGCCGCCAGGGCCGGCTTCGTGTCGCCAGGTGTGTGGCTCTGTGACTGTTGGGTGACTGGTATAGTATGTACTGGTATGTTCCGTCACTTGGTCGGATAGTCCGATGTAAGCCGACTAGCCGTGACGCCGAAAATGTTTTCCTGCGAGCGACTCATTCGTGCAGCATTCGCTGCCTGGCTACTGACTAAACCGTGCTGGCTATCGCACGCTGGGAGCTGAAGACCCAAATATATTTTTTTAGCCTGGTACTGGCAGAACGGTGTTTGCTGCCGGACGGAGGCCGAAGTTTCACAGCATTTGCTAGCCGGGCACCGTCCAAGCGGCGTGAGCTGTTGGACCGGGACCGAAATCTCAGTGTTTGATGAATGGTGTTAGCTTTCGGTCGGTAGCAGGCGCGGTGCGTCATTCTCTGGCCACCCAGAGACGGGTCTGTGGCAATGGACTATGATCGATTTCTCACTCTCCGCCGCCTTTAGTCGTGGCCTGCATCGTTCTCACAACAGGGGGAGGGAGGGGGGGGGGGGGGGGAGGGAGGACGTGAGAAAGGGTAGCGCCTGCGGCAGCGTAGCTAAAGGCTGGCCGCGTGGGGGTATCCCCAGTGGGTGTGGTAAGTGGCATCCCACGCCAGCCAGCCGCTGTCGTCTGCACTCGCCCCGCCCCGGCCGGCCGCGGTCGTCTGCACTCGCCCCCGCCCCGGCCGGCCACTGTCGTCTTGCACTACACACCAACCGCCCCGGGCCGGACCCACCGTCGTCTGCACTCGCCCCCGCCCAGCCGCCGCTGTCGTCCGTCTCGCCCGCACCGCCCTGGCCGGCCACTGTCGTCTGCACTCGCCCCCGCCCCGGCCAGCTGCTGTCGTCTGCACTCGCCCCTGCCCCGGCCGGCCGCTGGTCGTTGCACTAGCCACGCCCCCCGCAGGCCGGCGCTGCATTGGCCATGCTCTCTGATATGCAGAGGGGCGATTGTCTGCTTTTATGTGGGTAATGAAAACACTGTCCGTTTTGAAAAGATTGTCACATTTATATTCACCGCGATACGTACACCATGCCATGAACACATCCGCGGCAAAGTTGTCGCAAATGCGCCCTTAAATACACAGATGTTTGTACAGAAACAGCCAGCTGGATCCTCAATACTGTCGCTCTGATTAAAACTAGATAAAACATAACTTAGCTGCAATCGTATTCTTCATAAAACTCACTCGGGATCAAATACTGTACAAATACGAAAATACAACACAAAATTATATGGTCTGTTCGGCAGACGGCATCGCCTCATGACAGACGGGGACTGCGCCGACCAGTGTAGCTTTACGGCTGACAGAGTCCCGGTTCCATAGCCAGGTTTCTGGACTTTTGCAGGCCGCAGTACAAACAGCGGCCGTGCGTCGGTCCGCTCCAGTGGTGCCCAGGTTTTCCCCTATTCGCTCTCAGTTGTTCGTTCGTTGGAGCTTCTCTACCGCCCTAGTCCGTGTGTTGGCATAGTTGAGGCCGTCCATCTGTGGGAGCCGCTCCAGCGCCAGCCGCGTGTCCAGAGTGGAGACCTCTCTTCACACGTGCCCTTGGGCCTCCTCTCGGTGGAGATCACTGGCAGCGCGCCGCAGGGTGGCAGCACGGTCGGTGCGTCGGGCGGCCTCATCACCTCTCCAGGCTGGCCGGCAGCGCTATCTCAAATTCCTGCAGCAGCTCGGGTCCGGCCGGCTCCCCGGCTGCCGGCTCAGCCGGCTCGAATTGCACGAATCGCAGGTCGGGCAGCGGTGGGGTCTGCTGGAGCGGGCTGGCCGGCCGGCGCCGCGCCACCTGCTGGCCCCGCGCGACGCCCAGCTCCAGCTCGGCCAGCGGCACCGGCGTCGGCCGGAGCGCTCCCGCCCGGGCAGCAGACGCTCCCGCCGCGGCACTGACCGCCCCCGGCTGCTCGGGCCACGATCACCGACACCTTGCAGTGCGCGGCCGGCACGCAGCGGCTGCCCGCCTCGCACGCGGCGCGCCGCGGCGACGGCGCACCCTCCACCAACACCGCCAGAAACACGACCAGTCGCCACATGGTTGCTGGAGTAACTGGCTGCCGCCGCGCGCGGCCGGCCTACATACCGCTGGCTGGCACGGCCACCACGTGACCGGCCTGTTGGACGTGTCGGGGACGGCGCAGCGCCCACGTGACCGGTCGGACGGGCCGCCGGTGGCTAGCGTGGGGCCGCTGCGTGGGCTCTGGCGTCACGGGCGCGGACAATGGACGCCAGAACTTGGTGTCGACACGGCCTGGCACTCTTCGGCATGTGATGCTGAGCCTGTCAGGCCCGGGTCTGCTCTGAGGCTCGTTGCGCGTTGGCTTTCACGTGTTGAAAAGGTCGTTACCGAACCCATACAGCCAACCATGGTCTCCGACATTCTGCAAGCGCAGACGGGCCAAAATTGTTGAGCATATTAATGGTCATGAAGGTTTTCTGTAGTGGACGTTAGCCGGGCGCGATTTTCGGGGGTCGGTGCATCTGGGATGCTCCACGTTTCACTCTCCTATCGACTGGTCTTGGCGACTGGTCTAGGCGACAGCAGCGGTTACGCATGCTATGGCTTCGCGTAGCTGGCTATCTGCCGTAAGTTGTAAATCTAACTTTCCCTTCAAGGGAACACTGAAGAAGTGCCTGTTGTTTTGTTTACGTCTAGAAAGATTTTGCACCGTTCAAATAAAGTCGTCCACACACCAACAGCGGTACGTTAAACAGGGGCGGCGCATCAGGGAGGGGGGAAGGGGCAGAGCGGAAGTTGCCCCTCCGCGGGGAGGCAAGACGTGCAAGAGAATGGTTTTTGCTCCCCCTCCTTCCAATTTCTGGTAGGCCCCGTTTTCCAAGTTAAAGGCATTGTAGCCACCTGTAGAGTGGCCTAAATTCAGAGCAAAGAGGCCATAACTGAACTAGAGAGTAATCAGTTGGACTCAGGAGACCCTTTGCTGCATCAAGAGACCCGTTTTATGGATCATGTGGTCACCTTTATGAATAGCGTAGCCTATGTCCAAGATCAGGGAGACCCAATGTTGTTAAAGGTGGTCCTTTGCTGGCTCGGAAAGCCTCCGTTACAGGCTAGGAGGTACCTGTCCTGGGCTAGGAGGCACTCTCTATATTCAGGCGGCCCATTGCTAGAACAGGAGACCCCTTTCATGCGCCAGATGTCCGCGGTTTCGGATCAGAATGCCTTGTTTTGGAATAGCGGGACCCCGTAGGCGAGATTTCAAGGCCCCTATTGGTGAATTGGAAGCATCCTTGTCTTGGATTAAATGGCCCCTATATGCATCGGGAGGCCTTTTGTGGCACCAGAGACCCTGTCTTAGGTCAGCAATACCCGTCGCGCGGTGATTAGAAGTCACTATTCTGTTGTTGTTTTTTTTACTGCTGACTCGTATTTTCCGGTATACGATGTATGTAACAGTTAAATAAGAGGCATGCGTCCTTGTTGCTCCTCCCCCTTGAGTACGGCACTGAGCTGGAGCCCCCCCCCCCCCACATGTGAGGAGGCCCATTTTGTCAACAGACACCTTGGAAAGTGCTCCCCCCCCCCCCCCGACTCAAAATATGTGGCGCGGCCCCTGGCGGCAAACAGCTCTCATGATCATTCACGTGGGATCACTTTTGCTGTGCGCGAAAGATCGTATGTTCATGATTTTACTGCTCACGCTAAAGCTGAGCACTGCGTGCAAGTGCTTTGAGATGTTGATAGTTGACTGGGAAAAGGCGTTGTCTCATTATGTGAGTGGGATAAGGCATCTGCCGGCTGCTGGGTACTTGTTGGGTGTTAACAGCCAGACATTGTCGTCACCAGGGCGAGCGTGACTTACTGCACCAGCATTGTGCAACTCCGAGTCTGTCCGTAGCTGCTAACTCCAGCTTCGATCTTGCATTCAGTAGATTATGAATGTAGATTTATATTAATTCGCATTAATTGATAAATATTGAATGATTTACACTAACTGTTGTTGACCAATTAATATCTATTAATTCAGTAGATTAGAACAGCGTGCAGGCTCCCGACGGATGCAGTAGCGATCGGCCCGGGTCAGTGCTTCCCCGAAGATAAGCCCCCGCCCCGACCTCCGCTGCAGGCGGTGACGACATGATGGCGGAACTGGAGAGACAGCGCAAGGCCATGGAGGAAGATTTTGGCAAGCGACGGGCTAAATTCAAAGAGATGTTTCTGCTGAAGGAAGGTGAGTGAGAGGTGAGGTGAGGTGAGGTGAGGTGAGGTGAGGTGAGGTGAGGTGAGGTTAGGTTAGGTTAGGTTAGGTGAGGTGAGGTGAGGTGAGGTGAGGTGAGGTGAGGTGAGGTGAGGTGAGATGGGGAGAGGAGAGGAGAGGTGAGATCTGACCCCATCTTCATGTGTTTTAGTTGACTGTCTTTGTTGTGGCGTTGCTGAAGGGGTGCCGCTCACCATATACGGTAAACCAGATTTATTTGTTCTCGTAATCTTGCGCGCCCCAACGTGGCTCACTTCTAATCTGTGAGGCGCTTGCTTCCACCAACCGGCATTGCTGGGGAGTGTAGGGCTACCATCATCGGCCTGACTCGGGAGTTCAAGTTCCCGAGTTCGCTCCCCCTGGAACAGGCTGACCTCCTCGGCCTTGCAGCGACATCCCCCCGTGCTCGGTCCACAGAGGAACTGAAGCAACAGCAGGAGCGGGTGAGCCAGCTGCAGCGCGAGTTGGACGACTCGCGTACCCAGCTGGCTGTGGCCGAGGTCACCTTCGAGAACCAGCTTGACGTGGAGCGGCGCAAACACGCCGAGGAGATCGCCTCCATCCAGCATTTGGAGAAAGGTATGGTCTCTGCTTAGATCGGCTCCATCCAGCACATGGGGAGAGGCGCCGGCCCGTGCTGAGATTGCCCCTATCCAGCATCGGGCTCCTGACACCGCCTCCATCCAACGCCTGGAAATAACTACCGGTCCCTGCTGAGACATCCGCTATCCAGCATCCGGAGCCATATGCCTGCTCCTGCGAGATCGCCTTCGTGCAGGGACCTTGAGAGCCGGACTGGTCCATGCGAACACAGCGGTGTGATAAGCGGTGGCCCTGCGCGATCTCAGTTCGATCTGTGGCTGGTGTGTTGGAAATCTTGATACGTGATAGCACTGCAGACATGGAGGAAGATTCGCGTTACTGGTGGTTACAACGCATCAGTAACGCAGGCAGAAGGGGTGGGCGCAGGGGAGCACGTGTCTCCTCTTGGTTCTGAGCGGACTTTCGGGCCTCTCGGGGCCTACGAGGAAGGGTCCGATTTGGAGGCCCGAAAGGCCGGCCGGCGTTCGTATTCCGGGGCTTCGGTCCGTAGGGCTGGGCACTCCAGTGGCAGTCAGAGGGCCCTTTGCGCTGATCACCGGCCGCCTGTGTCGATGAGGGCCTATACGTCGGTTAGACACCACCAGGAACGTACAGTCGGCTCCGTGATAGCATGGGCCTGAGAACCCATTTCCCAAGCATAAACTGTGGGTTTTAAGTTCAGTGTTGGCTCAGCGCCGTTGGCAGGCACCTGCCACGGGCTTGTCTCAATCGGTTGTGCTGCAGACGCGCCGGGCTTTCCGGGTTTAGTCGAACTCACAACCGCGCCGGGTGTAAACTTCACGGTTTTTGAGTTCCCTCTCTGGAACGCGCAACGGGCCCCACATGCGGGTGTGTGCCCGCACCTGTGCGCACCGCCTCACGACGCCCGTCCGGCGCCCCTCCCGGCCGCGGAGCTTCTAGAACAAACAAACAGTTGTTTGTCGCCCCGCACCACTTCAGACAGCTCAATTAACGCGCGCGAAACTCGCCACGTGACGCCACGCGGACAACGTATGCATGTACGCTTACTGACCATTTGCGATTCACTCCATCACAGGAATAAAGCCGGAACCAGCGATTTATATTGGTCATGGAGCCCAGCGTCTGTCAGGGCCACACAGCTACTAGGGGCCTCATTGTTGGCAAAGGGCCCTGGGTCGGCCAGAGACGGTGTTCGGGGAGTCCCAAAGAGCCTGGACGGCCCGCCAGGTTCGACGAGCAAAGGCCCAATTCGAGGGTCTAAGGTCAGAAAGGGCCGGCGAAGTCTTATTCAGGGGCCCTGACCTGCGGGGAAAAGCCCTCAAATGATAGCTGAAGGGCCTTTTGGACCGATCGGGGAACCCCTGAGTCGATAAGAGCCTATATGTCGGCCAGGCACCACCAGTACCGCACAGTCGGCTCCTTGTCGGTATGAGCCTGAGGGCCCACTTCTCAATCAGCTACGAAGTGATCTACACTGGCGGAGGCTTTCGTGTTTGTCAGGGACCCACAGCGCCGAACAGAGGATCCTACGCTCACAAGGGGCCTCCAGCCGACCAAGGACAGCGTTCGGTGAGGCTCGAAGGGAGGCCTCGGAGTTGACTATCAAAGGCCTGATTGGAAGGCCACGGCCCGTAGCGTCGTGACCTGAAATATCAGCGAAATGAAAATATCGCCGATCACTGATATCATTGAAAGGTCAGATCCTCTTGCGCCGTTTGAGGACCCCTGAGACAATGCGACTGTCGGCCAGAGACCACGAGCGCCAAACAGTTGGCTCCCTGTCAATCGTAACCCAAGGGCCCATTTCCCAAGCAGGAGCAAGGCCGGGGTCACGATTTGCAGGGGTCTGGGTCCATGAACTTGTGGTTGGCCCCTGCGTCAATCAGCGGCCCCAGAGGCACAGTGCATAAGAGGGGCCTTGTCTCGGCTAGCGGACCCCTAGTCGGTCACGGGCTTTTTTGAGGAGGTCCGAAGAACGGCCGGAGGACCCCCGTGACCAAATATGAAGGACCCGTGGGAACTCGGGCCCGGCCCGTCACCCGTAGTACGGTGACCTGAAATATCTGTCAGAGGGCTTCTATTGGGGCTCTCTTATTATGCACGTGTTCTATATCCCTAGTCCAGGCATTTTTGCAGATATGGACGTTTTGAGCAAAGCTGAGAATACCATTGCTGAACAATTAAAAGAGATAAGGGCCTGTTAACTGGTGAAGTTGGGTCACCTGATTTCAAAATGGGTACCACGCTCGCAATTTTCCGCTCATCGGGAGATACCTGAGTTGTGAGGGAGCCGTCGATGATCCGCAGGAGATGCGGACCGGTCGCAGGAAAGCATCCGCGGACTGCTGTTATCGGCACGCGGTTCACACACACACCGCTCTCGAGCTGCTCATCCGCCGGATCGACGGAGATGGTTCAGGGGGAGTAGCGGGCTTGGAAGTGAAGGAGGTCGTGCAGACAGCTGGTGGTCTGGGTAACTCCGGTGCTTCCCCCAAGTGTGGTGTCAATGCGAGACCCACCCGTCTCGAAATGACGGTTTATCTCGTGAGCCAGGTCAAGGTTTCTGATCTTCTCGGATGGTTGTTGACGTCATGACAAATCGTTCGAAAGCATTCCAGCAATCGTACCGGACACGAGAAGTCATCACGCCACAGGGGAAATCCGTCCAACAGCCATGATCGCACACTTGGCGCCGTTTCGAAGCCGTCTGAAGTCCGTGCGAGCCTCTGGAGTGCGCAGAGCTAGCCAGGCGTTCCTTGCTGTGTGAGCCCGCTCGACCATCGTAGCCCGAAGCTGCGGGTTATCACACAACCACGGGGCAACTGAGGCGGTTCACGCGGACAGTTCTCCCCGGGCAGTGACAACGCATGACGTCGCGCCATATTTTCGTAAATGGTTTTTACCATCAGGTCCACATCATTGGTGTCATGGGGTTGGCTCAATCAGCGGAGAGCAGGTCCAGGCAGCTAGTGACCCAGTCACCCCGGTGCCGGCCCCGAGTCAGACGCTTCTGGAATGGCTGCCTCACCCTGCCCAGCCCCGCGGTGATGGTGATGGCCTGGTGGTCGCTGGGGGTGAGGGGTACTGTGACCTTAACCTTTATTTTCCAGGGGCATCCAACTTCAGGGTGCATCACAAAGGGCCCCAAAACCTTCATTTTCAAGAGGCAGCAAATTCAAGGGAACACCACAATGCCCGTGCCTCTCCGTTGGCGAAAACCTGTATCGGCCTTTTGGGATGGTGGGCGTCAAAACCTGCTTTTCAGGGCACTATAGCAGTTATTTTCTAGAGGCACCAAATCCAAGCGTGCGATTGGAAGGCCCCGAAACTCTCAGTTTCAGGGGTACCAAAATCCAGGGGTACCACAATTGTTTTTGTCTCTCACTGATGATGTCCTGGATCGGCCCCTTGGGCGATGGGGCGCAAAACCTTCACTCAGGACACTTGTATTTTTAAGAGGCACCCAGTTACAGAGAAAAACCATGAAGGGCCCCAAAACCTTCAAAATCTTTAAAAAGGGAGGACGTAACCCTGGTGCCCATCCCCCTTTCACTTGAGTAACGTGGCGTGGTGCATCTCCGGCGACTGCCGGCGTGGTTTGTTGTCCACCTGACAGCCCTGACAGCTGCGAGTCTGGAACAATTACAGAACCATCTCCGTAATGCGTTCTATTCCTGCAAAACGACGTTTCTCCCGGGAGACTTGAACAATAACGTCTTGGCACCGAACATCCATGCCCAGCACTGCCCCAAATTGATTAGCGATCTGAACATAATGCTACTGGCGGATCAGCCCACTCGCCTACCTACGCCCACGGCACTTGACCACAGGAACACGTATCAACTCGACCCACCACGAATGGTCACGGTACTCCCTGATACCCTCAGGTGGCTTACATGTGATGTTAAAAACGTGTTTGAAGCTCACATAGCCGGATTGTATGACATGTTGAGTGACTTGAAAGGCATGCTCGAAAGCCGGGGATAGAGTGCGACAATCCCTCTTGTCCTGGCCGTGGTCAAGGCCAGAGTTTCAGGCGAGTCTTGCACCATCCAAGGTGCGTACATTGGGGAACGGATGCCAACTGTATTGACGTCGGACTTTCCCCCCTGATCCTTGACCTCAATCGGCTGTGGGCTGGAACACCCCGAGTACGTTCTGGCGAGTTCATTCCCACCGCATCATTACGCGGCCCGCCGCTCCGCTACGTCACGGAGGCCGGGAAAGGCCGACCGCGGCGCTCGAGCGTCATCACTGCCCTTAACCCTGTCCATGAGTCGGGCTGGGGGGAGGGGGGGGGGGGCGCCGCGCAGCCGGCTCTCAGTCACCAGTGACGCCTTGCTGCCTGCCGTACCGCGGCCGCAGCGGCCGCCACCACACCCGCCACACCCGCCAGCCGGCCGTATTGGCTCCTGTGTTGCCGCTGTCGCCATAGCCGGTTCTGGGCCGCCGATCTGGCCTTCATGGCTCCCCCTCCCCTCCGTGCAGGCCACGGCCGCCGCAGCCACAGCCGCCGGCCGACCTGGACTGGGCGGGCTCGTTGCAGCCGGACGGGAGAGTGGTGCGAGCGCGGGCCAGTCCCGCCCCTACCCGGCTGTTGTGACCGGGCCGGCCCCGCCCTCGGCCGGCTGTTGTGAGTTCGTGATCGGGCCGGCCCCGCCTCCGGTCGCCGGCCGGGGCACCGTCAGCTATTGTCGCTGACCGGTCGCCGGCATGTCCGTCAGCGTCGGCTCTAGGCCCGCCCACGGACCTCACCGCCAGTCAGACACGATCGATGCTCGATCGGGCTCCATTACGGCTCACCGGGGGCCTGACGGGCGGTCTCTGCGCGCGCGCCTGCAGAAGGCAGCGCACGCGGACCAGGCCACCGGGCCCAGGTCGCCAACTGTATGGGATAGCTGCAGACGAGCTCTTATCTGAAATAGGCCCGATCATTTGTAATGTTTCTAACGCGTCACGTTATGTGACGCCACGTCACGTGGGATGCACTGCGATCGAATTGAATCGACATCCATGTGTTATTCGAAGGAGGCCCGTCCCCAGCAGCGTTTGTCATGCCAGCAGGAATCAGGCGTGACGGGCTATTGACACTAGGTTTTTTTCATGAGCCAATCGGTAAGTTTGGTGGCAAACCAAGCTTTTGAGTCTCATTTGGGGCGATTGCCGCTGGTCGTCGTCAGCTGACGGGCTTGCTGGTCAGCTGGCGAGAAACGCCGCGTCCGTATGTTGAGTGATGAAGCCGGTGAGCCGTACTGGATGCCTGGGCCGGTGGCCGCAGCCTGGCCGGACTTCGCGGCTCCTACGGCCCGGCCTGACCCGGCCCGGCCTGCCTCCACCCTTCCGTGCGTCTGGGCGCCACCGCTAGGCGGCCGTCGTGTCACGTGACAGACCAGCGGCGCTGCGACGCTCGATAGCCATTGTTGTGACGCGCCGTGACCATCGATCTGCCGCGCGTGACGCCGCCGTCACGCGGCGTTGCCAACGCAGCGCCGCCGGCCGACCTGTTGCCGCGCCGCCGGCCGGCCGCTGCCCCCGTTACGGCGTGCGCACGCGCGCCGCCGGCTCAGCTGGGAGCGACACGCGGCCGCTGCCGCCGGTGAGGCGGGAGTGACCGCTGACTGCCGGCCGGGGGGAGTGCGCGCCGAGCTGGTTCCTGCGAGTGCTGGTGCGGAGCCGACACGGGACGGGTGAGCCTTGGCAGACTGCGGTGGAGTGGCGCCGCCGTATGGTCACCTCAAGCTCCTCTGATCGTGCTGCGCATTAAGCGGCGCCTGCTCAGCTTCTGTGCGTTTTAGCGTGGTGCGCGAGCCGCCAACCTTGAGCCTGCACCCCGCCGCTCCCGCTCACTAAAGTCCGCTTCACCGTCGGTTGCAGTACAGCTCACCACCGGGTGCGACAGAGCATCGATCTCGGCCAGTGTCCCTAGCCACCCTGGCATGTGCGTATCAGCCGAGGCCCGGGGCCCCACGAGCGCTCGGACGCGGCCGTCGGGATCGGGCCGCCGGCTCTGACCGCCGCGCTTCGGGGAACGGGTCAGACGTGTTGGAGTACGCAGCTGTGCCGGGGCGCCACCACACTGCGCAGCCACAGCTGGCGGGTCCGTAAGGCCTACCGACGCCGCGAGTTGTTGTGATGCCGGTTTGACAGGGCTGCCGTTTAGCCTCAGGGCATGTAGAACTGACCCGAGCTCCTCTTACGCTTCGACCACCATTACATACAGGGCTGCCGTTTAGCCTCAGGGGACGCAAAACTGACCCGAGCTCCTGTTACGCTCCGACCATCATTACATCCAGGGCTGCCGTTTAGCCTCAGGGCATGTACAACTGACCCGAGCTCCTGTTACGCTCCGACCATCATTACATCCAGGGCTGCCGTTTAGCCTCAGGGCATGTACAACTGACCCGAGCTCCTGTTACCCTCCGACTATCATTACTTCACCACAGCCGCGTCGGGTAGGCATGCGTTCCATGTATGCATAACTACAACGATAACCACCTCAGCGGTTTGCTCAGCGCCGGGAGAACTCGGCGGCTAGAGAATGCTTCAGACACGAGACAAATCAAGCTTGCCCCCACCAACCTTGTCAGGTGATAGTCAACAGATGGCAGCGCGTCAGTGTTACCGTTTAGGGGTGGAGGTTCTGACTGTTCTGGAATGCGGGTGTGATTGTCACGTCAGCTCCAATTTTTATTGTAATTTCTTTTGTCAATTTTGGTAGATAATGTCCAACTGCGGCATGTCAGTTGGTTGCCGACCGTGTGTTTATAGACGTGCAGGGATTTATTTGCACCGAAGGTGAAATATCAGCTCTTTCGTTCGTGAACGACTGGCGACAACAACGTTCTCAAATCATTTTCAAGACATGCTGCTTCTGCGCTCCGCCATTGGTGTACTCTATCCCGTGAGCCCGGCTGTGATGTCCTTTTGCTTGAGGCCACCTTCACAGCGCCTCGTCCTGTCCTGGCGGCGCGTTTTGATCTGTGTTGGCTGTGACGTCACGCTACCATGGCGCGAAGGCCGGTGCAAGCCGACACCGGCCGGCGTCGATACCAGCCGGCGCCGGGCCGGCCTGGCGAGCCACATCCGGCTGCGGCCGGCCGAGACCACACGTGCTACGCCATCCTGTGACGTCACGCCTCTCCACGCCGTGGCGTCCCGGCCCCGTTGGCGAGGCGGGGCTGCTGTTTTGTGAGCGGCGGCCGGCGGCTCCAATATCATTGCACGCCAGCGCGCTGTTTTTGCACCACGGCTGACGCAGCAGACGAGACAGATATGACTGGTGTTTTGTGTCGTACCAGGACGCTGCGAACCGAGCGGCGGCGAACGGTGCCGATGTGCGGCGTCACAGCAGCTTTGTGACCGAGGCTGTGACTCGGTGGCGGAGTGGCGTCAACCTGATGATCAGCTGTGCTGCTCCGCGTAGTGGGGACGGTCCGACGGCTCCTGAGGTACGACTGACGCTAGAGCGCCACTGACGTCAGCTGCCCCGTGTCTCCGCAGAGCAAGCCAGCTCCTCCCTGGAGGACCACACGCTGCGCCACCAGGCTGAGATCCGGCAGCTGCGCGCCCAGCTGCGCCAGCTGCAGCAGCAGCAGCAGCAGCTGCTGCAGCAGCCGGCGGAGGAGGCGGCCGGCTTCGGTCCGCACGTGCTGACAGCCGTCACCAAACAGCTGGCTAAAAAGATCACGCTGGGTGGCGCGGTGACGTCGGCGGCCGGCACGCAGGCCTCGCCGCTTGGCAGCCAAGAGAACCTCGACCAGAGCATGAGGCGGGTACGGACACGGACGGTCAGGAGAACCTCGACCAAAGCACGAAGCGGGCACGGACACGGACGGTCAGGGGAACCTGGACCAGAGCATGAGGCGGGTACGGACACGGACGGTCAGGGGAACCTGGACCAGAGCATGAGGCGGGCACGGACACGGACGGCCAGGGGCCTCGACCAGAGCATGAGGCGGGCACGGACACGGACGGTCAGGGGAGCCTGGACCAGAGCTCCTGCTCCTGAGGCGGGCACGGACACGGACGGTCAGGGGAACCGGGACCAGAGCATGAGGCGGGCACGGACACGGACGGTCAGGGGAACCGGGACCAGAGCATGAGGTGGGTAGGGACACGGACGGTCAGGGGAACCGGGACCAGAGTATGAGGTGGGTACGGACACGGACGGTCAGGGGAACCTGGACCAGAGTATGAGGTGGGTACGGACAGGGACGGTCAGGGGAACCTGGACCAGAGCATGAGGTGGGCACGGACAGGGACGGCCGGGGCAACCTGGACCAAGGTGGGTACGGACACGGCCGGCCGGAGCAACATGGATTAGAGGATCAGGCGGGTACGGATACGGACGGTCAGGGGAACTGGAGCGAGAGAATGAGGCGAATATGGACGCAAGGGAACTCAAGCACTGCAGGTTGGCCGGGCACTTTGTCACTCGCTCAAGCATGCGTGTTTGTTTGCGTGTGGACCGGCTGTGTTCCTTTCTTGCCGGTTTGAGTAGATGTGTTGCTGCGCTGTCTGCCAGCACACTCAGATTCCACTGGCATTGTAAGGGATGCCGTCTGCCGTGTGAGTGGTATGGTCTTTCTGTCGTGTGGCGTGCCTCCTGGCCGCGGTATCGGCGCCCGGGGGTGCACCCGGCAGTCGTGGCCCTCCCCAGCCTTGATCCGGTGCCCGCCCGCCGGCAGGCCCAGGAAGACACGGAGATGATGCGCTCGCTGGTGATCCCGCTGGAGGAGGAGATCCAGGCGTTGAAGCAGAAGCTGCGCGACACGGACGCCCAGCTGCAGGTGCAGCTGACCGCTCGCGAGCAGCTCATCCGCGCCGACCAGCTGCTGGCTCAGCTGTGTGCCGGCGGCCGGCTGGAAGAGCTGGCCGGGCAGCTGCGCCAACAGCTGCCAGCCGAAGAGCAGCTGCCGGCGGGGCTGGCGCCGCACATGTACCTCTACATATCCGTACTGGAGGCGCAGAAGCTGGCCATCTCGGACGACGTCAAGTATGGCAAGTGAGTGCTGATCCACAGGGTGGGGTACGCCCTGGGGAGTCAAGAGTATGAATCAATGCTTGCACCGGTACGGGTGCTGCATACATCCATTGGGAGCTCACGTTGCCTGTTGTGCACACAAACTCGTGGCTAACTACTGAACACCGCGCTTTGTTGTATGAAAAGGCCCCGGAGACTTGCAGTAGCCACTTCGTTATCTGATGATGCGCTGTTACAATCGCCGATTTCAGGCATCTACTGAAAATGTAATGTATTTTGCATCACAAACACTCGACGAAACCCTCCCTGCAAATGATTCGCTCTGGATAAGCGGAACACTGATGAGTGACACTAAAGCCAGATGTTGGCATGGGCCTGATGCTGAACCCATGTGCTGGCTGTGACTATGCACCCTCGGCCGCGTGGGCCCGGTAGACAGACACAAGTGGAGCTGCGCGCCCAGCTGGAGCGCGAGCGAGCCGCGACGGCCGAGGCGCGCCGCACCGGTCAGCGCGCCGCCGATCAGCTGCAGGAGGCGCAGCGGCAGCAGGCGGCGCTAGTGCGCAGACTGCGCGCCGCGCTGCCGTCCGAGCTGCTGCCGCTGCTGGAGGCGCCGTCGGCGTCGCCCGCCGCCAGCCAGCTCAGTCTCGACACGGACCGAACGCAGGTGAGCACCGCCGATCGGTGCCGCTGGCGGGAGTGGTGCTGCGGTGTGGGCTGCTCGCCACGACCAACGGGTGTGAAGCCTTCCGCTGGCGCCGATGTAGTCACGCTCAGTGTCTGTTGTGTGGTGTGTCGTCTGAGACTGTGTGCTCTGTATCGTTATTGTGGTCCGCTGTGGTCCAGATAGCAGCCAGTGGGCTGGACCCGCCAGTACTGACTCGAACTTACCCACCGCAAATCGTTGTCGTACCCATCATTGGACCCCAAGGCCCCGCCGTCTCATCTTGGACCCCTTTGTCTCATCCCGCGCTCTGCTGTCTCACCCCAGACCTCTCCGTCTCACCGCGGGCCCTGCTGTCTCATCCGGACCCCGCCGTCGCACCCAGACCCCGCCGTCGCACCCCGGACCCTGCCGTCTTGTCTGGACCCCGCCGTCGACCCAGACCCTGCCGTCGCGCCCCAGACCCTGCCGTCTTATCCGGACCTCGCCGTCTCACTACGGGCCCCGCCGTCTCACCCTGGGATCCGTCCCTCTTATCCTCTATCTTGCTTCATCCTGCATCCTTGCAACATCCCACTTGTCCGGGGCAGGCTGCATGCGTCAATCACGAGTGGGCCGAGAGCCTCGTGGGAAGGTGGACCTCGACCGGGTACCCAGCACACATGTGCAGGTAAAAGCTTGGTGGTTGGCCCCCAGGCGCATGCAAGTTTGCCTCACCGTTAGCCATTTTCCTTCATCCCATAACTCGGAACTGATCATTTCTGGTCGAAGGGGCTCTAATTCAAACAACAAAACCAAAGTCTCGCTCCGGATGCCGCCGTCTCACCCCGGATCACGCCGTTCTCAGAGTGAGGCCGAGCCGGAGCCGGCCGGCTGCCACGGCAGCATGCTCTCGCTAGACATGGCCGAGTCGAGCTCCACCGGCAGCCAGCGCACCGACGCCGGCGCAGGTCAGTGCGGGGTCCGGCTGACCCTGGCCACCGAGCCGGGCTTCTGCGCAGCACGGAACAGTGTCGGGCGGGTTATGCGTGCCCAGCTCGTCATGTGATTCATCTGAGCTACTATTTTTGTTAATTTTGTTTTCGGGCATCGACACTGATGCCGGGTAGTGTTCCTGGGCGGCGGGCCGAACTGCATCTATGTGACCAGGCAGTTCCGATTCTGCCTGACCGAGTCGGCACGCCTTGCGTGACGCGTGTACGCCCGGGTCACATGATGCGTGTCGACAGGCGGCCGCTGCGAGCGCTGCGCCAGCCTGGAGTCGCAGCTGCAGCAGCTGCAGGCGGAGCTGAAGGCGGCGGAGAAGCGGCGCGCCGAGCTCGGCCGCGTGCTGGAGCGTCACCAGGACGACCTGGGCCGGGAGGCGCGCTACCGCAAGCAGACCGAGCAGGAGTGGCAGCGACACGCCGAGGACTACCAGCAGCAGGTGGGCGGCTGGTGCGCGCAGCCGTCAGCGCGGGCTGTGGTGCGCTCCGATCCGCGCCGCCGCCGTAGCCGCAGTCGCAGCCGCAGCCGCAGCCGCAGCCGCAGCCGCAGCCGCCGCCCGGCCTAACGGCTCACGGGGGCGTGTCAGGAGACAGCCGGGTAGCTGGCGGGCAGCGGACGAGTTTAGTAGCTCGGTGGGAGCTTTGGACGTTAGGCTTGTGAGAGGGAGGCAAGGGAGCTTACCGCTCGACGCTATGACCATCGTAGTCGTCGCTGGAGCTTCATGAAAGCGCCTGCGCACGTAACGGCGCGCACTGCGAGACGTTAGTATATATATGAAGTTGGGAACATACCTGGATCTAGCCCATGCCGTGGCGTGGACGACGGTTGGGGTATGGCTGGGAAGACGCCGTCAGATGCGCTCCCGCGGTCGTTGACACGTGAATTGAGGGTCGAGAACGCGTTAGTGCATTAGGATTGCTCGTTATGTGTGTTGTGCGCTAACGTGATAACAATTTTTCTATGAGATTGAACTTATGTTAGCAGTCGGCGCGCCCTTAACCTCCAGTGGCGGCGAGAGGCGTGCCGAGGTAGACCCGGCGTCAGGCTGTGTGGTGGTCCCGGCTGACCGCGGCCGACTGCCCCTCGCCAGATCAGCGAGCTGTACAAGGCGGTGGAGACGGGGGAGAAGCGCTACCACAACCTGGAGCGGCGGCACAAACAGTTCGTCTCGGAAGTGCAGGACAAGCTACGTCGACTCACCGCCGACCGGCATGTGGTGCAGCAGGAGCTCAACAGGTGCGGAGAGGACCGCGGTCTGACGGGGCTGCAGGTACGGGGTGCAGCAGGAGCTCAACAGGTGCGGAGAGGACCGCGGTCGGACGGGGGTGCAGGTACGGGGTGCGGCAGGAGCTTAACAGGTGCGGGCAGGACCGAGGCCTGACGGGGGTACAGATACGGGGTGCAGCAGGAGCTCAACAGGTGCGGGCAGGACCGAGGCCTGACGGGGGTACAGATACGGGGTGCAGCAGGAGCTCAGCAGGTGCGGGCGGTACCGAGGCCTGGCGGGGGTACAGATACGGGGTGCGGCAGGAGCTCAACAGGTGCGGGGAGGATGGGGGGTACAGGGACGAGCGAGGGACAGGCACATGGTGTAGCTGGAGCTGAAGAAGATAAGACAGTAATATTAGCTTTATTCCTCGGAAAAACAGGAGAATGGAGATATAGTTAGGTTGATATTTCAGCAACATGCCTTTGTCGAAGCAATAGCAGAATAAGTATATCTTCATTCCTCGTTTTTTTTGGGAATAAGGCTAATACTACCGTCTTATATATGTGAATAATGTTCCTCGCTAATGCACTGGACAACTTACGGAGCTGAAGAGGTGTGGAATCCCGGACAACTAGGACAGGCTATGCAGCTGAAGCTGAAGAGGTTTGGAGTCCTGGACGACCAGGGGGACAGGCTGTGCAGCTGTAGCTGAAGAAGTGTGTGGTTCCGGAGGACTAGGGGGGGGGGGGGGGGGCAGACTTTGCGGCTAGAGCGGAAGAAGTGTGAAGTCCCGGAGGACTAGGGGGACAGGCTGTGCAGCTGTAGCTGAGGAGGTGTGTAGTCCCGGACAATCTCGGCGGGCATGCACGTGGTGTAAATGGTGAAGGAGAGAGCCGAGAGGCGAGCGCACGGCTCAATGAGGTGCGAAGTCTGGGACGATCTCAGCCGCGGGTGGGTGGTACAACAGGAGCACGCGGGAGGTGGCTGAGAACATGAGGAATAGAATTGCAGTGGGGAGTAGTATAGCACATTTATTCGTACCACATGTTCAGTCAGCTCTGTACCACATGACCAACAGTGCTGTTGTGCGTTGGCGAGGGGCACCACGGCATTCAGGCAGACATACATCACGTGACTGGGCGAGTTCAGCCGCGTCCACGCGCAGCAGGCGTGCCATTCTGACCTGCCAGTGTACACCAGCAGACAGTGCGTGAGTACGTGACCCGGCTACCGTGCGGGCCTGTGACCGGACCACCGCCGGCAGGCTGCAGGCGGAGAATGACACGCTGCTGGGCAAGTACAGCGCTTGTTCCGGCGAACTGCAGAACGAGTTCATCAATTTGCCGGACCAGGTGGAGGTGAGTCTGCGCCGCCCGCCGCCGACGGTGACCCCGACTTGGCAGACGCGTGCAAGGGAAACGGGGCCGCTCTACATGCGGTGCAGGTCATGCGAGCTATCTCTGCACGACACTGTTTTCCATCGGACGTCCGACTAAGCGCATACATTAGAAACTGCTGCTAGTGTGAAGTGGGAGAGCTGGTGTGGCACTGTGAGGGCTGAGGGCTGGTGCGGGACGGGTCTCTTCGGAGAGGCTACAATGAACTATGAGGGCTGACGTGAGACTGTGAGGACTGTAAGGGGAGGTGTGGGAGTGTAAGGACTGCGAGGGCTGATGTGAGACCGTGAGGACTGTGAGGGCTGGTGTGGGACTGTGAGGATCGTGAGGGCTGGTGTGACACTGAGGACTGTTAGGGCTGGTGTGGTACGCCTCACTTCGGAGAGGTGGCGCTGCTGTGGATCACTCGAGAAGTGCATGTGTAGATGTGTGACTATGCTTTAGTATTTCGCACCAGGGCTATGTCTGCCGGATTGTGTCCAGATTGTGTCCGGATTGTGTCCAGATTGTGTCCGGATTGTGTCGAGAGGCGGCGGTCGAGACAGCTCTCCCCATCGCCATCTGCCTGGGCGTGTGCGGCCCGGTCGGTGGGCCATCCCGTGGTCACCGACTGCTAGCCGTTACCGAGCAGCCGCTGCCGGGACTTGCCGTGCTGACCGGGCAGCCCGACCGGCAGGAGCTGCACCTGATGCTGTTGCGCTACAAGGAGGAGCTGATTTCAGCTAAGATTGCGCGCGAGCACGTGGAGGAGACGCTGCGCAACCAGCTGGCCTTCATGAAGAACGAGCAGGAGGCGCTACAGCACGAGAAGGACTCGCTCAACGACGAGCTGGTGGCGGAGCTCAGCAAGCTTAGGTGAGAACACGCAACTGAGCTTAGCAAGCTCTGTGGAGAACGTGCGACTGAGGTTAGTCAGCTCTGTTGATAATACGCGATAGAGCTCAGATGAGAGCCGGCTAAGCTCGTTAATGTGCATCCAGCACAACGGGGCTGGGTTCAGCTTGGCTTTGGACTGTTTCTTGTACGTACTGTTGATTCCGCAATATCAGGTGGCAATTTGCAAGGGAAAAATCGTTAAGGGCACTGTTCCACATTTTGATACGGTTTGGGCTGAGATAGCCGTTTTTAAATATCATTTAGTGCACTTCACAGCCTTTTTTGTCTTTCTTTTTCTTTTAGTTTTGCACAGTGTACAGCCAAGGACACTTGCAATGGTACTAAAAACGATACCACATCACTTCTGTGCGCTTATATCAACGGCTCAAACAGCTGCACAACCGCCACCCGTCGCACCGCCGCCGCACGAGGCCGCGACACGGGGCTCCGTAGGGGCGAGAGCCGCTGCGGGAGGTCGCTCCGTCCCGAGTTGGCGCGGTAGCTGCGCGTCGCCTTCCGCATTTATGTATGGCATGCAGAGGACACTCAGGAAAATGCCGCTATTTTCCACCAATCCCCGCTTTTGACGCTCGCCTTTAAATGGCATTCATCATTTGGCATTAAATAATTGCTTGATTTGTGGTCGGAGACCATCTAGAGAAAACTTGCTTCCATTCGAACGCTATGCATGGATTTACCGCGCATGGAGCATTCCTCGCACTAAGTACAGCAGCACGTGCATCAGGTGCCACGGAGAGGCCTCGCACACCCATTGATGTCCCGGAATGCATCGCACCTAAATGCATGAACCAACGGACGGCTAAAGAGCTAAAGAGGAGGTAAAACTGGCAGCCAAAGAGAATTGTCATTTCTCCCACAATACGTACATTGCTGTGAGCCTGCAATGCGTGTTATATTCGAAAACCGTTTGGCGGAAATATTTTTATGCCCTGCCTGAGATCGGACTGACACGAGCTGAGTAGACGCCCTGCAGTTGTAAGGGTGTTTAAATTATTCGGGCCAGTATACGGGGGCTTCGTCGCCGGCTTCCCATTTTTGCAGCGCTTTCGGTTCGCGAGTCGTGAATTCCAAGCGTTATGAACCTCTCGTTTTAAAGCTACTAACGGTTTCTCCTGCGTCCCAAATTCACCGTTAACTTTGTCCTCTCTCGGCTGCATAGACATACATTCATGCTTTCTTCCGTCGCGCACAGTGGCCCTCCGTCTTCAAGGAGTCGTTCTGACAAGGCCTTTGTATCGAAGTATGTCAATCCTACATGCAGGGCATTTGGCGCGTAACTGGAAGTGCAGCAAGGATTGTCCCGTCCATTGACTGTACTCATTAAACCACTTAATCTCATCTAACCACCGTCGCCGTACCAGGTTCTTCCCTGCAGAACATAACTAAAATTTTGGAATTGCCCGGCGTAAAAGGCATTAAGCCCGCATTCAGAAGCCATTGTATCGCACAATCCAGCTCTGAACATTATATTGGTGGGAAGAGGAGCAACGCGGTGCTTAAGTATTGACTGACACTTAAGCGTGAAGTTAAATAGTGGAAGGACTAAACTAAGCCTCACTGCACTGCGTAGTTGTGTATTGAAGTTGTTGCTGACCACCTGGGCCAACAGACTGGTACGACGTGTCAAGTCACGTTTGGTGGACGACCGCGCCAGGTAAATCTCATTTCAAAGCTCATAAATCAGACTTGGGATTTGGTGGGGGTTGCAGCTGGTGATCACTAGGTATGTTATTACGTTATTCAGATTGGATATCAAACTCGCAATGACGACGACGGTTACAGTTATTCTAACCTTGACGCCGAGGTGCCTCTTTGACCATGAATTCAACATTCCGTTGATGTCATGCATAATTGAAGAACGGCGGTCCAGCCACATGAACTTTGTTTTGTCTAGATTTAACTCCAGCTTGGAAGCCCCAGAAAATTATTTCAAGAGACACAACAACTCATGCACAGACCCCTTGTTTTTAAAGGGGGTGTCTTACATTTGTGTGGGGTTTATAATTGAACTAGGTACATTGAAGATCATTCAGTGCAGTTCACGGTCTTGCCCTTTTTATTGCCTAAAATGTGGTCCCTGAGTTCGAACGCTGCGAAGATATGCAGACTATATTGTGCAGCTTTCTTTTAAGATTGCCCATGCACGCATGACGCCACGGAGACCTCTTGCAAATGCCGTCATCTCACAGGCTGTTTTCTGCCCATGGTCAGCGAACAGCATGGCCGCTCATGCATTCGTGTTAGCGGTGATGCGGCACCAATGGTCCGAACCCCGTAAGGTTATTGGCTAAAAGTCAGACTCTGCTGCTGAATGCGTGTTTGGAGCTTGACCACTCTTGTTTAGTTGCGCCGCTGTGGCATTTCCTAAGCCGTCCTAACTGACTTTCACGGGTGTAGGGCGCGCACCGCGAGTGTCGCGTTTACGGAGGTGATCGACGGGGCGGAATCAAGTCCCTGTGTTCGGGCGGGCACCTCCCTCCCAGACTGCAAAATATGCCACCAAGAACCTTTCAGGCGAAAGTACCCCCAAAACGATTGTTAATAATACGTATTTTAGACTGGCCTGCGTTCGGTGTACCATCGCGACAGGCGCGCTGAATGCGGCGCTCTGATGGATGGATACAGGTGTGGATGTCCGGCGCTGTGGGTGGATTGTGGAATATGTGTCACCAACCAGCCGAATGTTGCTCACCCAGATGCCATCTGGAATAGGTACCGGATTGTTGGTTGAGCAGCGACCGTGACCTCGGCCTTGGCCTAGCTGTCACCTGGTCACGCAGATGATGCGAGACATAAGCAGATGGAAGTCCCTATTAGGCGGTTTGCTTCTGCGGTACTAACGCGAGGAAACCGAATCGGCAAGCTTCAAGAACGCGTTCTGTTCCCTGTTACAGTTGAACCAAATCCAGCATTTAGGCTCCTTTCTCCGCTGCTTGCTTTCGAAAAACCTCAGGAATATCGAGTCGACTTCTCATGATTTTCCAAACAATTTACCTTTGAAAGAGCATGGCTTTTTCCCCATTCTTTTCTCGAATTATATCTGTCTTGCCCACCTTAACCGTAACAACAATGATCTGGCGGGCAATAAACCTGACTCACTTGTACTGTTTTCCCCTCCATGTGCAACACTATATTATGATCACTGACACAATCTGGCTCCACTACATCTAGTGACTTTCTGCGTATGATGAATTGCCTCGATGTTTATAAAAGTAATCAATCGTAGATGTTGCAACGGAATGAGCCGTCTCCGAGCAAATTGCTTTCATGCGGGTAGGTTCTCTCCAAATATGAAACAACCCTAAGTGCTGATGATTTCATTAACGATCCTTGCACATCACTGTTTTCCTTGTTTGAGTTTTTTTCTATCCCAAGGCTATTCAACTTACATTTAAATTCCCAGCTATAACCAGGTTGGACACGTTGTCCTGCATTTAAGTTCTCCCTCAGCTTTGTAAGAAATTATTTGTTCTCTCGCCTACTGACATGGTACATACAAACCTAATAACTTACCACGATGTCGGCTAAGCCAATACTATAACGCGGTTCCTCGTATAATAACCAGGAAAATGGGGATATATTCATTTATATGTTGGCTACGTGCCTTTACCGAAACGAATATCAGGAGTAAATTCAAAGTTGCCTGCCGATCCTACTCGACTTTTCAGTTGTTTCCTTTTTCAAACAGCGAGCTGCAGTCCCTGACTGGTGACTTGTAAGAGTTGAGGCTATTAAGAAAAAAACAATAATCACTGAGTAGGATCGGCAGGCAATTTTGAATTTACTACTGATATTCACTTCAATAAAGACCTGTAGCCGAAACAACAATGCATCCGTCTTTCCATTCTCCTGGCAATCCAACCGGGAATGAGGCCATTAGTACTGTAACATACATACGCATAATGTTCTTCGCAAATGCACTTAACAACTTGCAACGCTAGCTACCTAAACCTCCATGAATAATGTCCGCTTGTTCACAACAAAATGCATGACAGTCGATCGTCCCAATCGAGCCTGCCAACCCATGGAAATTAAAATGCATATACTTTAGAGATGTTGCGGGCGTTTGCGTGCTTGCTTCTTTGCGCTCTTTCTAAAACGTAGGCATTGATTTACAGTTGCAGTTGCAGTTTTACAGATTTACATTTGCAGTTGGGTTCATGTCTCTAAATGCACTGGGTGCCGACATATGACACAAATCGTGAAAACGGTCGCAAATGGAAAAATAAAGCTTGCTGGCTCATACGCACGCGACGCGTGACACGTGCGAACGCAGACTTTGCACAACGTGATTGCCCGTTTGATTCCCTTTCAGAGCATACCAGTACCGAGTGGCTCCGCGTCCTTGGTGCCGGGGTGTGATTCAAAACCTGTAAATCCGTTGAAAATAACCGAATCCATCTTCCGAGATCGAGTCGGCGGGACACGTGGCCCGTGCGACCATGCACATGACTATTGCGATTTGCTGTGGGATTCGCTATTGAAGCATCACAATCTCGAGTCGCTCTGTGCCCTGGGTGCCGTGTGCAAAACTGGAAAACTGTTCAAATTTTCAAGAAGTCTTTTTTTAAGAAAAAATTTCAAGACTTCAAAACAGCAAAATTATCTTGCTGGCTCGTTTTAGCGTGACATGTGACACGTGCGATACAGCACTTCACACCATGCAATTGCCAGTTCAATTCTCTATCGAATCGCTCCGCTTCCGAGTCGTTCCGACCCGTTTTTGCCAACTTATCGTGTTCGGGATGACGCGTATTGCTAGCTCACCGCCGATGGGCCACAAATTTCCTTCACCCGTGTTAGGGGTATTTTCGACCGCGCGTTTCGAATAGCCGATATTCCCTAATTTGGCGACGAATTGCAGCACAACCGTGCGTCTTACAAAATGGTGATGTTTTTTTCGGAAATTGGGGATGTTTTATTATCGGACGGTTTTAACTTGGATTCACTCCCCTATTTGCACTGGGTGCCGAGCTTTGGCATAACGCATAAAAAAATCCAACGGACACAGAGGAATTGATCTTGCCACCTTGTGGGCGCGTGGCACGTCGCACGTGCGACTAGAGACTTAGCAGCATGCGATTCCCCGCACAATTTCCTATCGAAGCGTGCGATTCCTGAGTCGCTCCGACCTGTAGTTGTCGATATATTGAGCTGGGATGGCGAGCAAAGAAGCCGCGCAGTGTAATCGGTCGCGGGCCCGCTGGCTGTGAAACAGCTCTGCATCTTCGGCCTACCACACGGCCGACAGCGCACGTGCGTCACGTGCGCTGTCAGCCACACGCGTAAAATGGTTGGTGCCAGCCCGGAGGTCTTGGAGTGGCATGGCTACAACTTGTAAAAAAACATCACGCAGTCCTTTACCTAGTCTTGATTTATGTGTGACCACGGTGAAAACGGTGATCAGGGCAAAAAAGCGGTGAATAAAAGAATGGTATTAGGAGAGAACAAATCGGCAAACACGTTCGTGTAATTTCTGTGAAATGCTCACAGTTTTGACGGCAGCGTGGTATATCCGGCAGCGTTTTTGGAAGTCTCGACGTTCGCAAATTGTCCGGACATTGCGGCGCAATCGTGCGTCGCACAAACTTGTGATAAACAGTGATGTCATGATGCGATGTGATCGTGATGTCGCGATGTGACTGGTACGTTTGTGAACCTTGTGAAATTATATTAGCTGCCGCTTTCAATGGCCGTTGGTTTGCCTTCACCTAGTTCCTCCTTGGGGCGTGTTTCCCACCTACAGCGGCGCGTCGCTAAGACTGCGCTTGTGTCTTTGCCGCCAGGGAGGAGGTCACGCTGAAGGACAGCGTCAGTTCCGAGCTGGAGGCCGAGCAGGCGCGCCGCCAGCAGGCCGACGGCCAGCTGGCGGCGGCGCGTGATCAGCTGGCGCAGCAGACAGCCATGAACCGGCAGATGGTGGCCGCGTTGCAGGCGCAGCTGGAGGAGCAGAGCTCCGCCAAGGTGCGGGAGTCGTGGGCGCCCTCGGGAGCCTGGAGTCGTCTGAGGGACGGCGGGGCATGACTCGAGGCCTAGTACCGTTTGAGGGGCACTGAGGGACCTCCAGTGCTGGCGCCGTCTGAGGAGCAGCGAAGGAGCTCCAGGGCTGCTTCCGTCTGAGGAGCGGCAAGGGGCTCCAGTGCTGGCGCCGTCTGAGGGGCAGTGAGGGGTCTCCATGGCTGGCTCCGCGCGAGGGGCGGCGAAGGAACTCCAGGGCTGGTGCCGGCTGAGGAGTAGTAAGGGTCTGGTGAGACGGCAGAGGGGACCCTGGTGATAACCAGTGTAGAGCATGCCCCTGTGACGTTGGGTTCGTGTATTGCAGTTCTCATCTTTGGGGAGTTGATTTTATTGGGGAAGCACTATAGGAGGCTGTTTTGTCACGCATTTTAACGCCCCGGTGGCCACCGCCGCCCTTCTCAGACTTGTGCGTCTGTCTTCCAGTCCTCGCTCCAAGAGGAGGTATCCAGATTGAAGACCAAAGTGGCCACGCTACAGCTCGACTTGGACAACTCTGAAGCTGTCCAGAGAGACTTCGTCAAGCTATCCCAGTCACTGCAGGTCTCTTCGGCACCTTGCTGTTTTTGTTTTGTCTGCGCGGCCAAGTCTTACTTTCGGCCGCAGTTTAAAGCATCCAGTCTTTGCTCATTTCACATTCGCCAGTTCAGCTTGTAAACCTATGCTCAACACCCGTCATGAAGTACCCGCACGCTTGATCGGAGCTCGGCAGCTCGGTCGTGTCGGTGAGCCCGCGGGCCCAGCCGTGATGCGGTGCTGACCGCGAGCCGGGCCGTGATGCGGTGCTGACCGCGGCCGGGCCGTGACGCGGTGCTGACCGCGGCCGGACCGTGATGCAGTGCTGACCGCGAGCCAGACCGTGATGCGGTGCTGACCGCGGCCGGGCCGTGATGCGGTGCTGACCGCGAGCCGGGCCGTGATGCGGTGCTGACCGCGGCCGGGCCGTGATACAGTGGTGACCGCGGCCGGGCCGTGATGCGGTGCTGACCACGGCCGGGCCGTGATGCGGTGCTGACCACGGCCGGGCCGTGATGCGGTGCTGACCACGGCCGGGCCGTGATGCGGTGCTGACCGCGCCCCCGCCGCCGCCGCCGCCAGATGGAGCTGGAGCGGATCCGCCAATCGGACACGGAGGTGCGCTGGCAACACGAGGACGACGTGGACGACTGTAGCCGCTGTCACGTCCGCTTCACGGTCAGCAGGCGCAAGGTTGGTGCCGCCGCCGCCGCCGCCGCCGCCGCTCGGTGGTTTCCTCCAGATGGACGTCTGGGTTGTGTGGTCAAGTATGCAAACAGGTCCTGGGTCCCCTTTTTCGATATTTGGCACATAAGACTACCAAGGAGCCATCTCTGAAAGCATTCCCCAATACAATTATCCCCCCCCCCCCTCCCCTGCTGCAATTTTCGGAAATGCAATCTTGACAGTGCACGGGACAGTGTACTCGCTGCACGGGCTGGGCGTCAAGTACGTAGAGCACCAGACGGAGACCGGCACTCATCCAGTGGAGTGGCAATATCGAACGATGTTTCTGTCCAAGAGACTTGACCGAGATAGATCTATTTGTGCAGTCCAGTGCCACGTTGTTTCGCCTGTGCCGATGCTGTTCCCGTATCGTTTTTGCACGCATACTCAGTTCTGAATGCATCAAACTAGCACTTCGTCGCGCCGGTAGGATTTCCCCAGTGCATATTACGTTTGCACTGGGGTAATCCTACCGGTTTCTATCACACAAGATAGTGATACGTACCCGTACCCGTTTCTATCACACAAGAAGTGTGACCTTGCCGCGGGGGTGCGTTCCAGCACCACTGCCGGCACTGCGGCAAGATCTACTGCGCCGACTGTCTGAATAAGGCGGTGCCAAGCGGGCCCAGCGGTACCATGAGCCGAGTCTGCGAGGTCTGCCACACGCTTCTCAACCGCGAGTCGGCGCCCTACTTCAGCACGGAGGCGCCAGGCGTCGCCGACTGAGCGTCGCCCGCCGCGGCAGGGTGCGGCACACGGGCTGAGCCGCCGGGCCGGGCCGGACCGAGCACGGCGCGTCCGCGTCTGACATCGGCGGCGGCGGCGGTGTTTGGGCGCAGCGAGACCCGGCCAGACGTGAGGCCGCCCACCGCCACCGCTGTGGCACCGGGTCCGGCTAGAGTGGGGCCTGTGAGATGATGCATCCTATATTTCCCCAGTGAACATAATTGTGGCGGGCGCGGCTGGCGACTGTCGCGGGCGTGCGGCGTCGATCGCCGGCCGTGTCGACAGAGCAGACCGCTGCTGACGCCGCCGGTCGTGCCGACGCAGCGGGCCGCTGCTGACACCGCCGGCACTGCGGACCGCTGCTGACGCCGCCGGTCGTGCCGGCACAGCGCGCCGCTGCTGACACCGCCGGCACTGCGGACCGCTGCTGACGCCGCCGGTCGTGCCGACACAGCGGGCCGCTGCTGACACCGCCGACACAGCGGACCGCTGCTGACGCCGCCGGCCGTGCCGACACAGCGGGCCGCTGCTGACACTGCCGGCACTGCGAACCGCAGCTGACGCCGCCGGCCGTGCCGACACAGCGGACCGCTGCTGACACCGCCGGCCGTGCCGACACGGCGGACCGCTGCTGACACCGCCGGTCGTGCCGACGCAGCAGACCGCTGCTGACACCGCCGGTCGTGCCGACACAGCGGGCCGCTGCTGACACCGCCGACACAGCGGGCCGCTGCTGACACTGCCGGCACTGCGGACCGCAGCTGACGCCGCCGGCCGTGCCGACACAGCGGACCGCTGCTGACACCGCCGGCTGTGCCGACACGGCGGACCGCTGCTGACACCGCCGGTCGTGCCGACGCAGCAGACCGCTGCTGACACCGCCGGTCGTGCCGACACAGCGGGCCGCTGCTGACACCGCCGACACAGCGGACCGCTGCTGACGCCGCCGGCCGTGCCGGCACGGCGGACCGCTGCTGACACCGCCGACACTGCGGACCGCAGCTGACGCCGCAAGGGCGTGCCGGCACAGCGGACCGCTGCTGACACCGCCGGCCGTGCCGACACCGCGGACTGCTGCTGACGCCGCCGGCCGTGCCGACACGGCGGACCGCTGCTGACACCGCCGGTCGTGCCGACGCAGCAGACCGCTGCTGACACCGCTGGCCGTGCGCGTGTCGTGTCCCACCGAGCTTTACGGCATATGCTGCGGGGTGAGCGGTCCGGCCCTCGCCCCGGTGCCCACTCCTAGTCCGGCAGCTTCCATGGCATGGACGGCAGAGCGAGCCGCGGCTTCGGTCGCAATATTTATTCGGGGCGGTTTCGACATGTGGCAGAATAAATATACAAACTTGAGAAATGTCCTGTACACACAGACGGCGGATAGCAGTCAGGAACGCGACGGGCAGCGGTGCTGGCCGTGCGGTCACGGTCGCCGGTGTTTGGGCTGTCGCAGCTTCCTGCCCTCGCCTGAGAACGAGCTGAACACCGCCTCTTCAGAGGTCGCCTGAAACAGCGCCGGCACGCTACGGTCATTCACTCAGAACGGCCGTGTCAAAACGGACCCATCGCTCACGACAGTGGCCAAACAACCAGTCGGAACCCCGTTAGAGGGCACAGTTTGCCCCACAGAACAAAGGGAAGTGCTCCATTGGTGCACGCCACATCCCTGACGAGCCGCAGGCGCACCGCCAGGCCATTACGGGCGCCCTTCGATGGCAATACTGAGCTGATTGTGGGTGCGCGGCTCCGCGCCCGGCTGCCGCCCGCATGCATAGTCCACCTGTGATCGTGATCGTCGCGCGGGCCATTGATTGCGGTCGACTACGGTCCTTGCAATAGCAATGCCGCAGCAGGCAAATGCCTAAGGAACGCGAGCTGCAGACGACCAGGTTGACTGACCCTTGTGAGCCCACATATTATGCCCGTAAAAACTTCCAACAGGCCCATCGGTCATCTAGCAGGACTTCAGTAAACGTCAGCCAACGTCACTTGCCGCTGTCGCTGAAACATTGCTCCACCTACTGTCACCCAGAACATGTTACCGGCCAGATGTAGAGAACATCCGACAGGTCCCTCCATTGTGCCTGCTTGGCACGCCAAATGGGTATTTGGGGACACCATCCTCTGACATAATCGGGGACATCAAAACTGCACGAGAAGCGCGACGCCGCCACCCGCGGACCGCTCTGGTCGAGGCGCCAAATCGTCGTGCCCTCCTCCCCTCCAATTCTGCTACGATAAGGACTTCGGCGCGGCACGGACACACACCTGGTGTGGCTGGGGTATAGCGTTCCGTAAGAAGCGAAGGTAGCCGATCTGGTAGTCGTAGTCCGGGATTCCCCGCACCCGCGGTCCGTTGGACGCCGTGGCCTTGGGCGCGTCCAGGTTCTTCTGTTTGCCGTCAAGCCTGGAGCGGGTGGGTGAGTCACGCGCCGAAGCCACGGGTCGGGATGTAAGATCCCCACCGAGCACCTGAGCACGCGATCGGCCCCATACGGTGCGACACGTCCGCGCCAGAGCCGGTGCGTGGGATGGTCATAATGACTGAAGCCGGCCGAAGCCGACCAATAAACGGCAACGGTCGTGTCTTGGCAGTGGCTGGCCGCGGGAGAGGCCATGCGTGACCCGATAACAGTACGTCCCGAGCCCGCCACTCGGAACGTCCACAAACAAGTTCCGCAAGCACTAATGTCCAAGGGTCGAAGTCGAAGGGCCACGAACAGGTTCTGTAAACATTTGTCTGAACGGACGACAGGGCTGAGAGCGAGGAAACTTCATAAATCGTCCGAATCGGATTGGCACGTGCCTTCTCATCCAACGACATTTACAAACTGATCATTTTTTCTGACGTGTTCGGGATGCCAAACCACCCAACGTAAAGTCACAGAAATGAATGTATGTCGACCGTTAATTGACTGTCTATAGAACGTCCAAACCGAGCCGCACCCGCCGGTGGACTGCGCCACGCGCCGCCGCCGGTGCAGTTTGCGGCGGCTCACCGTAGCCCAGAGCCCTGGAACGGCACGAAGCCAGTCGGCTCGGGCATCTCGTGCTCCTCGGCCGGGGGCTGCTGGGCGGCTGGCTCCCTCTCCGGCTCCTGGTAGCCGACCGGCGCGGCGAACTCCACCTGTCGGCAACACGGGCAGCCTCAGCTGGGTCAGATCGCTGGCAACAAAGTACAGCACACATATATAAACTTCTTCAACGCGCCATTTCGGTGGCCAAAAACACGACAGACCCTGCACAGGGAAACAGACATCGATGTAATGGCTCCTCACTAACGTCCATGGCCACTGGGAGCGCATCATCGCACAGGGTGCAAAACTGGGAATACCAGTTTGTTGGTTAAGTTGTTAAAGCAACGGAATGCATACGAAATACACTCCGTCCCGGTCTTCCCCAAAATAAACTTCTGAAGGATTACGGAGGAAGTTTCGGTATTCGATACACATTTATGTAGTAACCGATGTTGAAAATGTCCGAGCCTATCACATCTTCTCCAATCTCTCGCGGGTTTTAAGCAGCACGCGATGACGCAGTATTGCAGCTCGTCACACTGCCGGCCGCGCGGTGCTTACGTTCATGTCGCACTCGATGATGCTGACGGCGCGGCCAGGCTTAGTCTCCTGCACGCAAAACTCGTACACCTTGGCGTTGTAGGGGATGGCGATGACGTCACCGGTGGTGAGGCAAGCGAAGTTGCGTAGCGCGTTCTCCAGCACGGCCTTTGGGTTAGTGATATCGAGGAAGTCGGGCGACTGAGGCTGGAATTTGGAAAAGGTGGCCACAGGAAGCGAGACGCTCTCCACCGTCAGCAGGGCACCCTCCTCCAGCAGCAGGTTCCGCATCATCTGCCACACACCGCACGACCGGCACATGTCAGACCCTGTGTAAGGCCCAACCAAGCAGAAAGGACGAATGGATATCAAGTGCATTCGCCCCATGTGTGTGAGTTTATCGGAGCGCCATCATCAACATAAACGTATGTGATCCTCCACGCATCAGACGTGACGCAAGCGGCCGCCCAGTTACAAAGCACACCACTGAGACGCCGCCGACTCCGCACCACCGGCACACCGGCGGCTCACGCACGCTCGTGGCGTCTGGCTCACCCAGTAGGGCAGGTAGACCTTGCCCTCGTCGGCGACAAACTCGAGCACGCCGCAGTGTGTGACGCGGTCCGCCCTCCGATTAGTGAGCTTGAACAGCATCGGGTAGACGACGTTGAGCCGGGTCAGCGTGTCCAACGCCGACGGCGGCATGATGACTGCCGGACACAATGGCGCCCGGGTCAGACGAGCCTGGTAATGCACGGGTCGGCCCGCCAGGCGTCGGCCTGTCCCGGCAAAAGGGGACATTCTCAAGTGGTCGTCGCTGGATTAACTTTCGAAACCACCCCACCATATGCCCGCGATGGGTCAACGCTCATCTTCCGCTCAACCCGTCACGCATCTTGCAAACACGGCCTGCTCGCAATATTCAGGCGCGCCTACCGGCCTACCCAGTCTGCAGGATGATTATACACGCTGTAATTCGTAAACATGGGCAGCTGGTTGGCCCGCAGACCCGTCAGACAGTGTATTGAGTACTCACTCTTGCCACCTTTCTCGACGTCCGTGCGCTCCTGGCCTGGCAGCATCGATACAGAATAGCATCTGTACTGTGTGTTGAACGGCCGCAGCGCATCAGGGAACATTGGGTATCCAAACTGAAAAGAAGTTTGTGTTACAGAAGTGCACACATAGGGTTTACTAATCAACCACCACAGAGTAGCGCACAGCGGGTAGAATAGCAGAAGCAGTAGTGAATTTTAGCGTATAATCTCAATGATCTCCAGAGCAAAACAGTGAAGAGAGCATTAAAAATATTCACTTAGGACCAGCCACCAAAGAGAGCAGATGACATGCTGAGGATTCGCTTGCCCACTTCATTTACTGTTACGCCCAGACATGTGCCTGGCTCCCAACGATGGATCCAGTATCCCACATCGTTCCATGTTAGTGGGATCCTCGGAACTTTAGAGACCCAGGCACCTGTACATCATTAGCACATTGTGTGAATGTTTTATGCTCCAGGCACTTGAACGTCGTTAACAGATGGTGTGAACGTTAGTTCTGAAGAAATATAAAAGCTTGAGCGTTTCACTCACATGTCAGAGAATAATTGTCCGGCAAGTCATCAAGAGAATTGCTAATCTGATAATTGCATCACATTAAAACTGTATTTTATGAAAGAGAATTTTAAAAAGTTAACTTAAGAGGACCCCATGTTACGTATCAGAGCAAAGCTTGAGTAAAACCTTGTAACTGCGTCCATGTAGTCCTTGGTGTAACACTGCACAATCATGTTCTGGTGGCATTGTGGCTGAGTGGGAAGATACTTCATGCAAGAACAGGATATGGTATTAATCGATTCGCTGTTCATTTAGTCGTCTTTAGTCGATCGAGGTGCGAAGCGTTGGCTGTCAGTTAGTCGTTTTTAGTAGCTTTTAGTAGCTTTTAGTTGGTACAAAGTCCCAT